CCCTAAACAATGTCGACGTCGCACAAGAGCTGCGCATGTCACTCATCATTACACAACGAGTCATGAAATATTGCCCCCCCCCCAGGATTTGCTCAGCCTACGGCCCTGGTTGGATTGGTATGTAAGTAGTGTAGGATAGCGCACGCTCCGCCAGAGAGTAAATATATCGCCTCACACTATTCCCCAAATGCAATCACTAGAAACAACACACCTCTTCGCCCCAAGTGTTAAATAATAATAGAAACGCCGCAAGTAATCACACTACACCACGCCCTTAGCCTCCGAGTACACTAATGACTCAGGGGCCGATCTGCCATGGTTATTCCCTAGGTAACAACTCAGCTCTCATCTCTTCCGCAGAACGGTCCAGGTTTCCCGCGCTCCTGATCCTATTCCTTCTATACTCCTCCTTGCCACCTTCCCGCCTACCTCCTACCTTCCACCATCACCCTGCCGAGCTACTTCGCGATCCACGTCTTACGGTACGAGGTTACTGTCTATTCGGTTACGATTCTATGTGTTATGTAGTCATTGTAAAATCAGCTCGATGATTATCATGCAATCCACAATAGTGTGTAGTATATATGAGGTATATATCTAACTGTCAAATTTGCTGGATTTTAAAGGAGCGAAGACGAACTCATTCATCACACAGAGGGCGTATCATTTGCTGTACACCGGCAGGACTTTCATGCTGACCAGCTGATAGCTGTAGGTTATATACAGTTTAAGCTACTGCGTGGGTCACATGCGATTTGACGGATGGGGGAGTTGGGCTGTTACTAAACGTGACTCTGTGGTGCACCCATAGCAACAATACATGTCTCTATATATTTCTATGGGTCCACCCTTGGAAATATATAGAGACACCTGTCTGTATTATTTCTATGAGTGCACCCGACTGGCTCTGCGATAATGAGTCCATCTTGTGAGAAACGAGATATCACTAGCTAACAAACGTTCTATAGCTTGCAAAATACAAGAATTGGGTGGCTCTGATAGTTTGAGTCCAAAGTTTATATTCATTATTACTAGTCAAGGTAGAATGAAGTCTAGTCATAGTTTGCATGAAGGCGTTTTAATTTTCATCTGATGTGAAGGCTTACTCTTCATATCCAATCAACAGTTGGAGCTCGCACCGGCACAGATCCTCTTTATATTTTCGGGAGACGACAAGGCTATTATGGGCATGAAGGAGGCAGAAGCTGTCACTAAGAGGATGCTACTTTACGGAAAGCATAACCACGAGATGTGCGTGTATCCCGGAGCTGGACATCTGGTCGAGCCTCCATACTCTCCTCTATGTAAAGCTTCATATCATGCAACCCGCGGTGAGTTTCTGTTGATTCCAACTAGTGATATGGTATGAAGAGCTAATGATACCTTAGGTATTATTAGCTCTTGATGGTATCAAAGTAATGTTACTGAGTGACTTGCTGATTATTAGTGGTGTTATGAATTAGTAGTTGTGCAGAATAGCACTGTCAGTTATTTTCTTGGTTTGCTACAGGTCTTCACATGGCTTGGGGTGGAGAGGTGCAAGCTCACAGTTTTGCTCAGGAAGACAGCTGGAAGAGGATCCAAAGTTTCTTCTTGAAGCATTTGAAGCAGCCTCTAGATGCGACCCCCTAGCCATTAAACCTTGACATGACGCCGCTTAAACAGTGAACTAAGAATAATTTGTAACTTTTCGAAGCATGTAGAAAATAAGACACTCATGTTAAATATACTCACGCACACACGCACACAATTTAGGAGAAATCCATTTAGAATATTTTGAGGGATGTTGGAGCGTCATGCTGCCTATTGAATTCATAAATACCAATGTCTATCCGTCACCCCTTACACGTTGTAGATACTATAGTCTCTTAGTCTACTCTAGTGTAGTATATCCCATGGTCTCTTTCGCCGACCCTGTTTAACAGTCATATATATATGTGTCCTGCGTCTAATTCTTAACACCTGAATGCCGAATAGCTGAATTAGTAGGATACGTGAATGGCTGTTGCAGCACTTCATCACGTTTATATGTGATGTGTGGTGCTAATGGCAACATATATAGGCCTACCGCCTGCTTAGGTTATGCGTCTCTCATTGTAGGAAGCCGTTGACTGGTTCAGTAGTCATCCAAGGGTTATTCCACATGGAGTAGGTGCTAAAGGAATTTCGTTGGGCGGGGAAGTTGTATTGTGCATGGCTGCCTACATGAGAAACAAACATAAAGTAAGCATATTTTCAGTTCATATTTACCAGCCAAGATTGTCTCTGGTGTATAATATCGTTTTTAACATGCACTGACTGTCAAGATATGTTAATGCATGGAGCATCAATCTATTGGGTCATCGTTGTTGTCTTGCCTTCATGTTGATTAAAGTTCTGTTATATTTTGTGTAGACACGAGATTTTGGTGTAGTTATTTAAGCTATAGATGTTTTACGTATTTGATCGACTACAGTCACATACCAACATACTGCTATATTTTTGGCAGCTGAACAGCTGTTGCCTGCATCAACGGAAATAGCGTTCAATATAAAATATCGAGGCAACGCTTTCCTAATTCCGAGAATTCCCAATTTCGTGAGTGTTTCTAAATTTTCAAAAAAGGTATGCTGACGAATGCCTAGTCTGTAGTTATATCCAGGGCGGCGCCCACAGGGGGGGCAGGGGGGCGGTCGCCCCCCCTATCATTTGCAAGAAAAGAAAAAAAGAAAAGAAGAAGAAAGAAGAAAAGAAAAGAAAAAGAAAAAGAAAAAGAAAAGACAAAGACAAGAAGAGAAGAAGAAGAAGAAAAGAAAAGAAACATCTTGCAAATGTGTGTGTGTGTGGTGTGTGTGTGTGTGTGTTGTGTGTGTGCGTGTGTGTGTGTGTGTGTGTGTGTGTGTGCGTGTGTGTTGTGTGTGTGTGTGTGTGTGTGACGCGATCGATATTAGCGCGTCAGCGAGCGAGCCAGCCACAGCCGGCTGCTGCTGACTGAGCAGCGAGCGAGCATACATGTACGCTGGCGTATATCGTGGGTTATTCGTGTGTTTGTGAGTCGTATGCGTATGCGCGTATGTCGCTGGCGAGGTAATGGGCTTTCTCCGTGAGTGCCCTCTGTCTAGTTTTAGTTAGTGTGTGTATGCGCACGCGCGCGCGCGCGCGTGTGTGTGTGTGTGTGTGCGTGTGCGCGCGTTCATCTCTCCGGTCAGTTTTTCTTCTCCTCTACATAATACAACAATTATTGGTTCAAGTGCTACAACATAGATTTTAAAGCAAATCACTGTTCCCCCCACAGTTCCGGAGACCCCCTCTTTTAAACGTGTCCAGTTTCATAGCATTGAATTTCAACGAAATCCTAGTAGTTCCGGAGACCCCATTTTCGAACATAGCCGTTCCACATTCAACAAACATTAGTTCCAGAGACTATCCCATTTCAGGTCTGAGTTAGTTCTAGAGCCCCCCCCCCCCCATTTTTAACTTCGCAGTGGCACATACCAGATATACCTACCATAATGTGGGGTGAGTCCCCCCCCGGGGTTTCATCTCCTTGGTATATGTTGCTCCTGGTTCCCTGCACAATTTTTTTGTCAGCAATTGAGGGCTTTGATTAGCTAAACTCTGAGAGCTTCCCGGGACCGCCCTGCCAGGGGCACTAAGGCGGCCCTGGGGCTGGATTCATCAACGTTGCGCAAAGTGTATTGCGTACACAGAGTTCCTACGAAGTACGTACGCCAAGCTGCGTAGGTGCGATTCATCAACCGCAGCGTAGCACCTCCTCATTTCGTTTGTATGATTGTGTTCAACACTCGATGAAAGCAGCGACACGTACGGCGTGCGTGCGTGCGTGTGCACGTACACGTGCGTGCGTGCGTGTGTGTGCACATCACGTGCGTGCGTGTGCACGTACACGTGCGTGCTTGCGTGTACGTACAGCGGGCGTGCGTGCGTGCGTGTGTACGTACACGTGCGTGCTGTGTGGCACGTACAAGTGCGTGCGTGTGCACGTACAAGTGCGCGACGGCGTGTGCACGTACACGGCTAACTACGAACTCGCTTATAACGAAAACAATGCCAAGCTTATGACAAAAAAAGCGTCAAAGGCGCCACCTGTCTGTGTAGTATGGTAATTATTTATTTTATTTTTAGTTGAGTAGTAATCTTTATAATGTTTTCTCAATAAAATAATGCATGCTGCGGTATGCTGGAACACGCTGTGCAAATTTCGAGTGGTTTACGGCACCTCGTCAGCTCGTGTAAAGTTACGCAAAGGTTTACGTAAATTTTAGCTTGATGAATTGCACCTAAATGGCCTCGCTTGCGTACGCGAAATCGTACGAAAATTACTAAATAGCTGTGTTGATGAATCGCAACTAAGCAACGTCGATTGCGTACACAAGATTTACGAAAAATATTTTGCGTACGCAGCTGATGAATCATGAATCTACCCCTGGACCCCACTCGTCAGTACAAGCGGCACACGGTATCAGAGTCTACAGTTCTCAGGGGCGTGTACAGGGGGTCCAGGGGTCCGGACCCTCCCTACTTGGCGCAGAAAACGGATCTGAGGGGTCTAATTTAAAAAAAATCCCGTGATCTCTACACGGCCCTGGTTTCGCCCCTCCTAAGAAAAATACCCTGGCGCCGTCCCTGGTTATATATATATATATCTGACGTTGTAACATAATTATAGAGAATGAAAGAACCTCGCTCATTAAGTTGCATCGTGCAGCGAAAGATACTATAGAGCTATTGTTTTGCTTTGTTAGAGCGATTATGCTAAAGCTTAATATACTATATTTATTTATTAAAATTATTGCACTTTCACCTATAATATTATTTTCTTTCACTGAATAGTGAGAACAAGATATGGTGTAGGGACGGCGATGAGATAATGCAGCCAACCCACATTAATTATAATTAAATATTTCATTGGCGCCTCATGTAGAAATGTGGAGAGAGAGAGAGAGAGAGAGAGAGAGAGAGAGAGAGAGAGAGAGAGAGAGAATTGGCATTTAATTGTGGCTCTTTGTGGAGCATAGGGCCTCAGAAACCCGTCAGTATCTGGCTCGATTTTCTTCTGTTTCTTCTATTCTGCCAGGGTCGTTTCAATCACCGTCATGTGATGTGAGGATATTTACTACACATACAATTATTCGAGACCTATATGATACAATGACGTTGAGTGTAATTCCTCGGAGAGTGCTTGTAGATGAAGTGATCAAGATTGTTGTCAACAAGTTAATGCCTCGTCAAAAGGTGACGATTATAACCCAGTTAGAGGAAGACAAAAAAAGATTTTATTCCTATGCGAATTTTGAGGCGGACAGGAATGGTGTGGTGGACCTTGGCGTTCATCCTTCTCTGAGTGGATCGTACACAGGTATGATGTGTGGAACGTTGTTGCTGTATTTATGTTGCGCAAAAAGCAAACATTTTCGAGTGCATTAATTAGTAATGAGACATATAACAATGGCTGTCATGTCATCCAAGCTAAACGAACTAAATCACTAAAGTGTCACACTCACCTTTTAATTTTTACATTCCAGGCGTAATGCCAATGGGCCTATTCTGCAGCATGCTTCCAGTCCCCGGCCAGAAGAAGGGGCTTAGATTAATAAAGAAAGATGTCACAACTGCAATGACGTTTGACATTGGAGTTTATGATGGGGTTCATCATGTAACAGGCACTCGCCACACTACACCTTTGATGTCTTGTGGTTCAGTTGAAAGGTCGTATTTAGCAGAGGGTGTGACCGTGCAAGAGGTAGAGCAAGGAAACATACGAGGAAAGCTGTTTTTGCCAAAAGGTATAAGGGCAACACGTAATTATTTCACTGCAACGCTGTCGTCTTTATATACTTGCAGAATTCACGGTACTACATATATGGGTAAGTATAACTGACTATCCAGACTTAATTAACGGCCACTGTGTGATTTCAGGTGCCGGACCATTTCCTGGTGTCATAGACATGTTCGGAACTATGGGTAATATCATAACATTCAGGTCTGCCCTGCTCGCTTCTAGGGGGTTTGCAACGTTGGCTCTTCCATACCTGCACTACAAAGATCTGCCTAAGTATGACTACATACACATAGAATCGTAACCGAATATCAGTAACCTCGTACCGTAAGACGTGGATCGCGAAGTAGCTCGGCAGGGGTGATGGTGGAAGGTAGGAGGTAGGCGGGGAAGGTGGCAAGGAGGAGTATAGAAGGAATAGGATCAGGAGCGCGGGGAAACCTGGACCGTTCTGCGGAAGAGATGAGAGCTGAGTTGTTACCTAGGGAATAACCATGGCAGATCGGCCCATGAGTCATTAGTGTACTCGGAGGCTAAGGGCGTGGTGTAGTGTGATTACTTGCGGCGTTCTATTATTATTTAACACTTGGGGCGAAGAGGTGTGTTGTTTCTAGTGATTGCATTTGGGGAATAGTGTGAGGCGATATATTTACTCTCTGCGGGAGCGTGCGCAATCCTACACTACTTACATACCAATCCAACCAGGGCCGTAGGCTGAGCAAATTCCTGGGGGGGGCAATATTTCATGACTCGTTGTGTAATGATGAGTGACATGCGCAGCTCTTGGTCGACGTCGACATTGTTTGGTAGGGGTGGGTCTGAAACAAGGCTTTCACGGATAAGTGACCAAAAAATTACGTTAGGGTTATTTACAATTATATATAGCTATAAGTTTGACTGATCCTGCCGTATCAGAGGTGTACTGGGTAATTACCTCCGCCAGGGGCATGGCAGGGGTTATGTTTTCACTGGCGAGTTTTTGAGTGTTGGTTTGTGTGTTTGTGTGTTACCATGCACGTTTCAGTTCACTTCCGCTAGGTGCGCTGGCTGTAGACTTACAAACACGCAACCACAGGCTAAGGGGCAACCACAGCCCTCTCCCACCTGCACGCTCGCACTAATCCGGATCCAATTAATTATTTAATTAATTAATTAATTAATTAATTTTTCCACTTAATTTTCACATTGAGAGAATTTAGCTGCCTTGGCGGAGGTCTGTGCTTTCCGAGTGCTCTAGTTGGTAATGGAACGTATGTGTAATAGCATTAGTTATGTGTAGTGGTAATGGTGTGTATATAGGTAGTTGACCAGTTAACCTACTTCAAATATGAAACTCTCTGGCAATATCACCGTCACCATGGTCAAAGGGGCAGCGAACTAATATCGTGCGTGACTCGATTTCTTTAACGTTAGGTTGCGGTGGCGGGTGTGAATCTGCCTGAACAGTATGCTATATACCTGCTTCGAGCACAGACACTTGGAACGCTTCAATGTTAAAATTATGGCAAATAAACGCGTAATCTATTTTCTACTAAAGTTTAATGTTTCTCTTATCTCTTTTGCCTATTATTGCCGATAATTTCTCCTGTAAATCTCGTCCAAATGCTCCGCTGCAACATGCCAGTGTTCTGTTGTACCCAGTGCAGTGGTTTTCTTTTCAGTTACATGAAATATTTAACTTTATCTGTGTCACTTACATGGAGTTTATATTTAAAGACAACATTTGCTGGTTCTACGGGTATACTTTCTGCTAGTTATTAATAAAGAACCGTTTAAAATATTTACGTACCTGTTTGGTTTTTTTATTTAAATACTGCTAAATATATTACGTTTAGCGAATGACGCTTAACTTTTTTGTTGCCTGAATATTAAAGTAATTATGACTTGTTCTTATCTCCATCCATTATACGTATCAGATTACACGTATCCAGTTCTAATCTCCTCATCAATCTATCTAGTAGATCTATAGTAAATTATTAGACGTATCCGGATCTAATCTGCGTGCGCATGAATACATAGATACAATAATTTAACCGAAACCCAAGAGGATAGGGTTTCCTCTATACTCTATACTCTATATTCTATACTATCCTCTTGGGTTTGGGTTACATTATTGTATCTAATGAATACATAGCTAGTAAATTATTAGATTGTTGCATTGTTTGCTTTCCGAACAGACAGCGCTTAAATTTTCTTCCGTTTCTGTTTGTTTGCTAGAGAAAAATGAAGCCCATTGTTCAGGCTATTCCACGGAAGGCTCTTGTAGACGATGTGGTCAAGATTGTGGTCAACCACTTGAACCCCAATCAGCAAGTCACCGTTGGAGCATACCTGCAGGAGGGCAAATTTAAATTTGGTTCTTATGCACATTTCAACGCAGATGGGAATGGTGTGGTGGATCTCAGTCTGCATCCCTCTATGGGTGGATCGTACACAGGTGCGATATTTAACATGTAAACTGGTAATTGAAGCGACATTCTGTGCTATGATAAGTTACTGTTGCTGATATTCGAGAGATATATCTCATATGATAGTCCAAAATAATACTGTGTAAATGAGACGTGAATGATGTTTTCCCCCATTCTAGATGTGATGCCAATGGGTTTATTCTGCAGCCTGATTCCAATCATTGGGCAAAGAAAGGGTCTCAGGTTGATAAAGAAAGATGTCACAACTCCGCTGACGTTTGACCTTAAGGTTTATGATGGGATCCACCATATAGCAGACACCCACCATCCGGCAACTTTACTGGCGTGCACTTCTCTTCAAAGGTCGTATCTGGCAGACGGAGTAACAGTGCAGGAGATAGAGCATGGAAACATACGAGGGAGGCTGTTTCTACCCGAAGGTTAACGCTTACCTCCGATTATTCTATTACTAAATTTAAGCTATCATTATTAATGATATCAGCACTCTTTGGGTATAGTATTCATTTTCTCATTTAATACTTTCAGATAATTTGCAAGCGATACTAAATTATCACTGTGCTCTTCCAGGTCCCGGGCCATTCCTTGGTGTCATAGACATGTTCGGATCTGGGGGCAACATTGTGACATTCAGATCGGCTCTGCTTGCTTCAAGAGGCTTCGCAACGTTGTGCCTTCCATACATATACTACAAGGATCTGCCTAAAAGATTGGACGACATCCATCTAGAGTACTTCGAGGTATTAATTGAGCATAACACATATTACCAGTTGCTCACGTCGTACGTCTCTTCATTGTATCCAAAGTATTGTCTCTGCAGATCACTTAGATCAATATCATTTCGTAGGAGGCTGTTGACTGGTTCAGTAGTCATCCACAGGTTCTTCCTCATGGAGTAGGTGCAATGGGAGTTTCTCTTGGCGGGGAGATTGTATTGTGTATGGCTTCCTACATGAGAAACAAACATAAGGTGAGGATATGACGTGTTCATGCTTAAAAAGAGGGTTATGGTATTATTTACTTATATATACTTAGTGAGGATATTTATGAGAAGTGAAATCCTGCATGTCGTAAATTTTTATGTTGAGTCTAGTTTAGACGTTGCCGATTAGGACTGCCAGTTAATTGACAAAGAGCTTTAATTTTTACAGTTGAAAGCTGTGGTCTGCATCAACGGAAACAGCATTCATAGTCAGTATATAAAATATGGAGGCGAAAGCTTCGCTAATAGCAGAATGCCAGATTTGTAAGTCTTTATTCGCTTCCACACTTCGAAAATGTTATTTAGTTTCTGCTTAACTGCTAGAAAATAAATATGGGATCACTACATATCATATGGAATCTGCATAGTAGATTTTGATACTACTAAAACACCAAACACGGCATTTTCGTAAAAAATAGAACATATTGCGATTACCTCCCGTTGACAAATATGTATTTAGCAGATGAGGAAGCTATATAAATAAATAACTAAATTAATAATATATATATACATATATTCAGGAGCGTATAATGACAAATACGTTTACAATTACGTATAATACGTATAATACGTATAATACGTATAATACATATAATACGTATAATACATATAATACATCACACACACACGTACGCACGCACACACACACTCGCGCGCATGCACGCATATAATTTAATTGCCTTTCATTTTTATTGAAATGAATTAAAATATGTGCGGGCGTGCGTGCGTGCGTGGTGTGTGAGAGATGAGTGCGAGAGATAATAGAACGAGCGAGAGCGAAAAAGAGAGAGAGAGAGGGAGAGAGAGCAAATCAGAGAGAAAAAAAGAAGTAGTCTACGTTTTGTTTTCTATGTCATTCCTATAAGGGGTGTGATTAATATGACAATTTCTTTAAAATGTGAACGTTTTCTTTTTATGTGCCAGTGTTATTAGTTGGTTTTGAAATTTTAATTTGCGAATGGAATGTACTTTATTGGAATATTAAACTCGGTGCTTCATATGAAATGCTCAGTGCATGGACGTTGTTATCTATACTATAATTTGGCTAATCTTGTGTGTGTGTGTGTTTGTTTGTCCTCGCTTTTCGCCCTGATTTGTCACTCAATCGCGCTAACTGAAGATATATTCAGAATCACCACGTCTGGGAGATGGTTCTGGCTGAGAAAAAAATTTAAAAAAGTTAAAGTATTAAGTATTAAGTCAAAAATTCGAAAAAAATGCTATTCGTCAATAGATGGCAGTGCGTACAGCAGATCCACATCACATAGGGAGTGTCTATATTCAGGCCGGTACGGGAGATTACGGTACGAATATATTTGCTAATATATTGACTAATCGTGCGTCAATAAACTCAATATTCACAGAGAGTAGTAGAATCTTAGAATTTTAGAATTTTATCTAGAATTTTAGAATTTTAGAATTTAGAATTTTAGAATTTTAGAAATTTAGAATTTTAGAATCTTTTAGAATCTTTAGAATCTCTTAGAATCTAGAATTTTAGAAATTTAATCATCTGTAATTCACTTCCGCGCGCATATATTTGCTATATTGACTAATCGTGCGTCAATAAACTCAATATTCACAGAGAGTATATGAATTCAAGCCGGTACGGGAGATCATTTGCATAATTTATTCTAGATACCTATAGACACATGTCTTAGCTATACTCACTGTGAATATTGAGTTTATTGACGCGCGATTAGTCAATATATTAGCAAATATATGCGTACCGTAATCTCCCGTACCGGCCTGAATATAGACAAACATCACATGCGTGGGAATTACACTGCGTCTCTTGACTGCCGCCGTATGAGCATATTCAGAATCACCACGTCTGGGAGATGGTTCTGGCTCAAACAAAAGCTATTCCTCAATAGATGGTGCTACGTCTCAGTCATGAGTTCAATCCAAGTTCTACGAAGATTGGCCATGTTCGTGCGAATACGCTTCTGGATTTCATAAAATCCATCAACAATCCGTTCGGCGCTGGAATCAGACTTCAGAACATCTCTACTAGAGCTGACATACCCCAGGAGGTTGTTGACGGATTACTTGAATGCCTGGAAATTGGTGAGAAGAGTTATCAAGAGTTTGTTGAAACAAGATTTCAGGATAAGGAGAAGCACCTACATGGTACAATCCCTACCAACCGCAAGACTGTTTTCGTGAAACGTACTTCTACTCCGTCCACAGCGAAGAAATCGATGGCGAAAAAGGATGCTGCAGAAACGATTAGGTACATTGACTATGCTAGAGAAAGAGGGTACAGCATGCCAGAACTCCTGAAGTATGAATTGACCAGCACATCCCAGTTCTTCACCACTGAATGTAAAGATGGCATCAAATTGAAGAAGCCCGATAAAGCCTCCATTGCCAGAGAACTTGTCAGTCAACTTCCACAGGAGACGAGGAATGTAAAGAGTGACGCTCAAATGACAATAGTGGACTTCATGTCACTTGTGCGTAAACTACTGATGAAAAAGATGGGCCTTCACACATTCGGGGAATTGGCTGAGAGTCTTTCCAATAGCATTCTTGCTACAAGCTCCGAGTCCAATAGACATTATTTTTTATGTTTATCAAAAATCATCAATTAAGCAAATGGAACGGGCACAGAGAAGTTCTTCAAAACAAATCACTATCACCATTAGGTCTGACAATCAGAAACTCCTTGTCGATCTTGATATGTTCTGGAGCCCAATGTTGAACAAAGTTCGGTTGCAGGAGTATGTCTTTAAATGGATGCTGCAGAATGTCGAGTCGGACAAGGAGATCTTCTTTGGAGGTATATGGGGGTGAATGCAGGAAATTGTTAGCTGGCACTGAAACACAGATCGCAGAGCTCTCAAGCAACCAAGAAGAAGCCGACGACAGAATCATGTTGCATATTAATGATGGTGTTGTGAAACACGGGGTTCAATCAGTCTTGGTTGACTCACCTGACACAGATGTCTTTGTCAACCTTATCTTCCACTTCAACAAAACCTGACAACTACAAAAGCTGTACGTGAAGCTTGGTAACCGGACAACAAAGAAAACTACCAGTCCACCTGTTGGTTGATCAACTGGACAACGGTTTGGTGTCGTGTCTCCCAGCCATTCATGCTCTTAGCGGTTGCGACAGTACCAGTAAGGTGGGTCCAAAGCTGTCTGGCCTGAAAGCATCCATGGATCTCTCCCTACTGGAAGGGTTTGGTGTAGAAGAACTGTTACCACAGATAACAAGCAATGCTGAAAAGTTCCTTGTGTCTGGATTAAAGAAGACAGACTGTTCCACTTTCGATGAATATCGATGGGAGCAGTACCACAACTCCAAGAAAGAACTGGACTTCAACCAGCGTGTGTGCTGTTCATCAACGCTACGAGAACACATAAAACTAGCATATCTGCAGTGTAAGATGTGGTTGCAAGCCTCAACCCCTGCAGTCACCAAACCAGATCCACTCCAGTATGGATATGAAGCAACGGATGTTGGCATAACACCAGTGGTACTGCCAGTATCGTGCAGGCCCGATGACCTGCCCCCTCCATGCAAATGGCCAACATCATGTATGAGTACCAAAACGTGCTCTTGCAGAGAAAGGAACATAAAATGTGTGACGTTTTGTGGCTGTAGTAAAGGCAAAAAGTGTAGAAATCCAAATAAATGTAGTAATCGGCAATGTATCGTAAATGTAGTAAACATGCTGAAATCGGTTTTTGGCAATTATCTTAAAAACCATTGACTTTTGGAAATGAAAATGTATTACTGACCTCCCATAATGTGGCCATTGCGCACATTTTGAGTGGTCGGTAACCTCCTAGGTCCAAAGGTTCTGTAGATACAGTCATGGTGGATGGCAGTACTTCGCTCGAAAAGGGCGTGGCCCAAAAAGCTATTTCGCCGTCAGTGGGAAATGTGTTATACCGACCAAATATTGTTCCTGGACCTTCAATTAGTGGATTCTTGAAGAGTTTAGGTCTGGACATAAATTTTATGTTGCAGGAGCCAGGACGTACACATTCATCACCCAGAGGGTGTAACATATGCAGAATACGCTCAGGATTTCCATGCTGACCAATTGATAGCTGTAAGATTGAATATTACATTGCAGTTTACGTTTCGCGTCATTACATGGTGATTTACAGTTAAATGGTAAGTGGGTTGAAATAGCTCTGCCGCTCCATATCGGGTTTGCCACAGATACGGTATAATTATGTGTAAGACAAGTAGATAGAGCATGTGTGCTTGTATTGTGGCATGCGCACAATTTTATCAATGCGTTCGTGTCCCCCATATGCGTACTATACCTATTCCACAGTTGGAGCACGCACCGGCACAGATCCTGTTCGTTATTTCCGAAGACGACAAGGCTGTCATGGGAGTGAAGGAGAACACTGCTTCCACGGAGAGAATGCTCCGGCACGGCAGGGATAACCACGAGATGTGCGTGTATCCTGGAGCTGGACATCTGGTCGAGCCTCCATACTCTCCTCTGTGTAAAACTTCATATCATGCCACTATGGGTGAGCTACCGATGAGTTTTGTGAATATAGTGATAAGCTACTGGTTTCGAGGACTAGCAGTGTAGTTGTGCTGTGAAATGCTTTAGTAACATATTCTGCTAATGTACTGTAGTATCTAACGGAGCCCGGGAAGGGACATGGGAAAATCTTTTTTTATCTCGTTCCCACGAGATATCTCGTTCCTTCGAAATACTATATCTCGTTCCCACGAGATATTATATCGTTCCCTCGAGATGTTATCTCGTTCCCACAATAACAAACAACAAGACAACATACAAGATAACAACAATTAATGCATCTCCTTACCACGCGAAAGGGTTAAAATGTCTTCCGTTAGTGACCGAAATTTCTTAATAAAAATGTATTTTGATCTTGGAATGGCATACAAAGATATACTGCTCATACTAGGTCATCACCACGACATACTTTTAAGTAAAATGCACCTTAAACGGATATTAAGTGCAGCTAATCTTCACCGTAGAAGATACAGCCGTGTGGACGATGTGGTACAATTCATCCAGAGTCAGTTACAGGGTTCGGGCCATTTACACGGGTATCGTAGGATGTATGCTAAATGTCAACAAAGTGGCATTCGTGTAAGAAACGATGATGTACGATTGATACTAACAAGTCTCTTGTCAGACGTGCCTACTTTGCGAAATAGCCCAATTACATCTGGCACATTGTCGATGGTTATGACAAGTTGAAACCATACGAATTGTGCATAAGCGGACGCATAGACGGTTTCTCAAGAGAAACAATCTGGTTAAATGTGTACAGTACAAATAATGACCCAAAAATAATTGAAGAATACTTTTTAGAAGCTGTGAAGGAGTGTGGAGGGTACGTGTCCCCGCGTCGTGCGCGGCACGGAAATTGGACATAAAAATGGAACGATATAGTATCTCGTGGGAACAAGATAATATCTCGCGGGACCGAGAAAAAAAAAGATTTCTCCATGTCCCAAATTCCCGGGCTCCGTAAGTATCGGCATTCATTTGTATTTTTGTTTTAACCGCATCCTCTTATAAATTTCAGGCGTGCATATGGCATGGGGAGGCGAATTGAAAGCTCATAGTTTTGCTCAGTAGAGCGAGAGAGAGAGAGAGAGAGAGAGAGAGAGAGAGAGAGAGAGAGAGCAACAAGCACGGTTGTATAGCCGTACTGTACTATAACATTCCACGATCAAGCGATTAACCAGTTGTTATAGATCTAAGGTGTTAGGGTAGGTGGCTCGCAATATGAGATGCAGTTAGAATTAGCGACAGGTTTATGGTATAATTAAATGGTTTAATTAGAGGTATATATATATATATCTCGCAACCTCGCCCCCACTTGCAACGTCGCCGCATCACCTGACGAAGTGTTGCAGTAGCACACGAAACGTCGTGTTCTCCAATTATCTTGTTGACAACCCATTGCGAGACAAACGGAAATATAGCAAGCAAGTTTCATTCCCGCAATGGATAACGTTTTTAACCTTATATATATATATATATATATATATATATTATATATATATATAATAATAATAATTGATTAATAGTATCATTAGTTGAAGTTATGTGTAGGGTAACCTCACCAGGCTGTGCAGCCAACACGTCAACACACATCACATGAGAGTACACAAGTACAGATAAACACGGTACGTATGATGAGTTTCGGTATGTGACTGTTTTCTTGGAGTTAGGTATAAGGTATATTCTACATCCAGCCCACAGTTCCAAGAAACGCTCATACATCGAAAGACCGTGTATTGACGTTAGTCTTGCAGCCTGGTCGGTGTTAACAGACCCACATCACACGTTGTGCTTGTACTATGGTGTGTACAAGCTGTAGCAACCCTGCATGTTGTAGTTGGTACTCTCCTCCCAGCTAACACCTAACTCTAACCAAACCCTAACCACAACAATAATCCCCCAACCACAACCCTAACTCCAACCGCAACCCTACCCCAAACCCAACCCCAACCATACCCCAACCCTAGCTCTAGAACTATAGCCCCTCCTCAACCCCAACGGTGAACCCTAACCAAAACCCTAACACCAACCTCAACCCCCCCCCCCCTAACCCTAACCCTAATCCTGAGCTCAGCTCTTACCTTGAACGCTAGATCGTATCCCTTCTTCGTCCACAGGTTCTGCATGCGCTGCTTCTCGCTCCAACTTCGCGCTCGGCCCGTCGAGCGCAGATAGGTGAGAACGCTCAACTCCCAGTGTTCGAAGCAGTGCTTGTGCATGTACACTCCCTCGGTGCAGCTGTCGTTATTACAAATCACCCGCACCGCCGTACCGGGTTTCTCCGACAGGATGAAGCAATCCAGATCACAGCATCCATGCGGCACGCAGCAGCGCGACTGGCCGGACGGAAAACGGTTTCGCCGGATCTGGGATGCGTTGCCGACGACGCCATTGTGGTGGACGACGCCGTTGCTGCTGCTGCTGCTGCTGCTGCTGTTGTTGGTGTTGCTGCCGGCCTGCTGCTGTTGTTGCTGCTGCTGCTGCTGTTGCTGGCAGCTATCGCTTTCACTGTTAGCACGAGGCATCGCTGGTTCTTTACCCACGTCGACACACGCGCGCGCGCCGCGATACACGCGCACACGTACACGCACACGTACACGTGCGGCGATCTCTGTCTGTCTCTTCCACTGCTTCGTCTACTTCGTCCTACTCTCTTACGAACACACGCACGCGAGAGTAAAGTTTACACGACGATATACGCACGAATTTCGGCTGTTGTCAAGTTCTCTCTCTCTCTCGCTCTCTCGCTGTCTCTCTGCCTTCCGTCGCGCCATATGTCACACACCTGCCGCTGCTGCTGCTGCTCCTGCCGCTACTGCTGCACGAGCTGCTCAGCCGGTATGTGTGCGTCCGTGAACTGTTGTTGTTGTTATGGTCGCACAGTGCTGGCGCTGCGAGGGGAGAAAGTGGGCGGGTATCTAGGTGCCCGGGCAGAGCTGATGATTGACGCGTCGCGTAGCGCTGCGATTCGCTGCCGCTCGGTCGACGCCTAGGATCACGTGACGGCGTTTCCGCGCGAAATACGTGCAGCGCGGCGCGGTAGCAAAGGAGACAGCGAGCGAGAGACAGAGGCTGATAGATAGATATAGAGATATATGTAGAGATAGAGATCAAGATAGATAGATAGATAGATGGACAGACAGATAGATAGATAGATAGATAAAGAGGGAGAGAGAAAGGGAAAGAGAGGGGCAGGCAGAAAGAGACAGAAGAGGGAGAGAGAGAGGGGGAGAGGGAGGGAGAGAGGGAGAAATAGAGAGAGAGGGGGACAGGGAAGGAGAGGAGAAATAGAGAGAGAGATAGAGACTGATAGAGAGCGATAGAGAGCGAGAGAGAGAGAGAGAGAGAGAGAGAGAGAGAGGAGGCAGTGAGAGAGAGAGATAGAGAGAGAGAGAGGAGGCAGTGAAAGAGAGAGATAGAGAGGAGGCCGTGAGAGAGAGATAGAGAGAGAGAGAGAGAGAGAAAGAGGAGGCAGTGAGAGAGAGGAGGCAGTGAGAGAGAGCTAGAGAGAGAGAGAGAGAGAGAGAGAGAGGAGGCAGTGAGAGAGAGAGAGATAGAGAGAGAGAGAGAGGAGGCAGTGAGAGAGAGCTAGAGAGAGAGAGGAGGCAGTGAGAGAGAGAGAGATAGAGGAGTAACTAGAACAGAGGACAGTGAGATGGACAGAGGTCAATGATTCACATGCAAATACACGGTGGGTTTCCACAACCTGTGGACATTGCTGCTTAGTATAAAAGCATACCTGAGTCGACAAACATCACTCGCACACACACGCCAATGCACGCACGCACGCACACACACACACACACACACGTGCATGCACACACACAAAACAAGCGAGCGCTGATCTGACCCTGCACCGTCCCTCCACCTCGCCGCGACAAACAAGCGAGCATCCGCCGGCGCGCGCTACTTGATGCACAGCAGAGCCTTGATGTTTGACATGTACTTCTCAAAGTTTCGCCGAAATGCGATCTTGTTCAGTCGCGTCGGCGTCAGCGCCATCTGCGGGGGCGTCAGCGCGCTGAACGCCTCCAGGAGGCGCTGCGTGATGGCGGCGTCCGTCTGAGCGGCGATCAGTTTCTCCACCAGGTGGCGATACTCGTCCTGCCGCGCGACGAACAGAGCAACGGTTACACACCAGGGGGCGCTGGCGCGGCCAGCGAAGCATTTCGAAATGCGTACAATATCACAATGTCAAGATTTCATTCCCATTTTTAATCTAATCTTAATAAAATAATAACTTAGTTATATTTAATGTTAATAATTTTTTTAGTTTAATTTTTTATGTTAATAATTAGTTATAATAAAAAGTTATTTATATCCAGGTGAGACGCCAGGGGCGCCACCGACGAGTGACATTGTGTCGCCCCCTACCCCGGCTGTTTATTTAGTGGAATCTACTGTTGTCTATTGCTAAGAGCTAATTGTTGCCGCATAATTTTGATGGACTGTTATATATTATATAAACTATATATATATATATATATATAATAAGATATAAAATGTGTTA